TGCTCCTGCTTTTGAACACTCTTCCAGCTGCTGGATTGGAGCATGGTACTTTGGAGTCTCAAAAAACATCTCCCCATACTACTAGTACTGATCCAAACGCGTCTATACGACTCATTGTTATTAAAGAAGACTCACTTACATGCCAAGACACACGAGATGACTCCTTTGATCCAATTAAAGATCAGCCGGTGCAACAAGTAGATGCTTCCAATATATATATATATATATACTTTCGTTCAGCTGTGATTTCTTGTATATCTAATTACAGGATATTTTGCTAATTTGATCATCATGCCATATACAATCTTCATTACACATTTCTTTGGAACTATTTGCATTTTATTAAAAATCTACCGAATTTACTGCTGTAAAAGCTTGCAAAGATCTTTCATTTACATTTTATGAAACCCATTTAAGTCTATAACTTATATCTCATCCTTGCAAATACATTTATTATTGCACAACCTTGTCTTCTCTTCTATTTAATAAGTGGTCCATGCTTTAAGGGCATGGTTGGCATTGATTACGACCTGCTACAGTGGATTCAGTGGCATTTTCTTCTTTCCTGGATTCATTGTATAGATAAGAAGGTTCATCTGTATGGTCAGTTTCACTTAAGTTGATATCAAATCACCGCCTTTGAAGCAGAGAAACCAGGGATTCATCATAAGCGCACCCTATATATATATATATATATATATGAAAAAGCCCAAGGGCTAATATATTCAAGCAAAAAAGATACAGAAAGGTTGTATGAAAGGGCCTAAAAGAAAAACCAACTCACACAATACAACACACACAAATCTCAAATAAAACAAAGATACATAAAGGTAAAAAACCAAAAAACCACCAACAAACGCAAAAGTGCTACGGACGTCCCACTTTAGTTCTCCCTCTGCCTCTAGTTCTTGGAAGGGAGCCGGCTAACAAATTGGTAAGGTGTGTAGTAGTAACCAAAGTATCATTCATACGTCTCCTGAGCTCTAGTAGATCTTCATTCTTATTCTTTCTCCTGGAAGTGTCAACCTGCCATTCCTCCGAAGAATCCGCCTGATATGGTAGAGCTGAAGCAGGACTACCAACAGTAATACCATAATAGGTTCTACAATATATGAAGTATGAGTTGCAGCTACACCGGATACTTCTTGAAGAAGTGGATCTGCGAGGCTCTCTTGATTATCAGTCTGAACACTATCATTTATTGGTAATAGTCCATTAGTATTGTTTTATATGGAGTTTGTAGGTGCCAACACCACATCACTCGCAGTAATAGTAACAACAGTGTCATAGGGGGAGGTCCTCAGGTGCTCCTCCTCAGGTGAAACTAAAATGTCCACAGCAGTGGGGTTAGACCCATTCTTATTAACTTGAACCTTAGATTTCAAATTATGATGAAATTTGTGGTATTTAATATGACCAAGCATTTTACAGTGGGTACAATATGGGAATTTGTGTTCCATGATGATTTGTTGCCAATAATCATTATGGGTTGTGCCCAGCCAGGCTTCAGTAACATCAGGTAAAGTAATATCCCTTTCCACAAGTATTCTAACCACCGAGGGTCTGGATATGTTTAAAGGTTGAAAGTAGACAGATCTAGTTTCAAATGATCCCCAAGAATGACCCCAATAGAGTAGAGAACCTGTTAATGAAAAAAATGCAGCTTGAGACCAGGTAAGCTAAACCATACTGGTACAGTGGAAGTTTCATGATTTGGGTCGAAATTAGAAGACCACTTGAGTAACTTCATTGATTTGTCTTCTATATTAAGATATTTCTTGGAGAAAATTTTGGTGTAGTCTTGTGCAGCCTTCAACCACTGTTAGTTGGATCAACACATGTCTCCTATCCATGAGTCCCATTTTTCACTTGCCTACTTGCTTAAGATCATCAACACTTTCTGACACCATCCATAGGAGGGTGTCCCAACTGAAATTTTTTAATAAGAGCAAACTTGAATTTTTCCGTCAGGATAGAAATTTCTAATTTAGAGAAAAAAGTTGTTGCTTTTTCATCTTTCCTACTTCCCTTCTTAATAAAAGGACAATCATCTACCCTCACGAGATTCTTTATAATTTGAGGGGAATCCCACTGCGGACTCCACCTGAGGGTGACCCATCACGTGGACAACGTGGACAAAAGAGATTTTGTCCTTTGTCCGACTCAACCAAATAAGGAGGCGCCATCAGAGCAAGGAGAGTTGTCGGCGTTAAGCTACAGCGAAGTTGCTGCGGCAGGAAAAACAGTGAGAAGCTTCACGAAAGGGCTGTCGAGCGGCTCTATCACTGATGAGCGGCTTTGTCGCAGACGCCAGATGCAGAGCCGAGCACGATGTGACGTCGGACAGGGGTCGAACGACACTGTCGCAGACAAACGCAGAGCTGCTGGACTCGTCGAGTAGACGCGAATGCGTCGTCAAGACGCAGACGAGCGCGAGCCGACGACGAGTGCGAGCCGACAAAGACGAGCGTGAGCTGACGAAGGAGAAAGGAGCGGGAGCTTCGAGCGACAGATCAATGGCGATCTCCATTCGAAACATTCCAAACCCTGGTAGAGCAGTCGAGCGCCATAATCAATTAGAGTATATATATATATATATATTGAAATCCTAAAAGCTAATATATTAAATAAAAGGTAGGGTATAGATAGATTTTGTGGAAGGTTCCAAACATGGCACCCAGTCCACACAAAAATTACCAAATCAAATGATTCCAAAAAGAGAAAATACAACAAAATACATAAGAGATCTAAATAAAAAACCAAAAAGTGCCAAAATTAGAATCAGGTAGCTGGAGAGCGACCTGATTTTGTCTCTAGTTCTGGGGAAGGAGTCAGCTAATAAATTGGTTAGATGAGTGTCATTGTCAGTAGTTACCAATGTATCATCCAATAGATTCCCTAGCTCGAGTCGTCCTCTGTTCTTTTTCTTCCTTGTGTAGACCTGTCATTCCTCATCCGAAGATTGACTCACTTGATCAGCAGAATGGTCTGAAGTGTGCAGGATATGTGTAGGTTGTTGAACATTATAAGCAACTACTTGTTGTACCACCTGATCTTCTATCCGGTCGAAGGAGCACTTTCGTGTGTCTTGGCATGTGAGTGGGTCTTCTTCAACAGTAAGTGGTATCAGCACATTTGGATCTGTATCTGTAGTAAGGTGTTATTCATCTGGAACTGCGATGTGGAAAGAAGATCAGATTAGACCTTCTCAGCAAGGATGGTTGGTGGCTGATCTTTAGCGATATTTGACCTTAGATGAGGATGCAAGTGATAGCAAATAGAATAACTGTGGCCAAACATAATACAATGAGAGCAATAAGAAGGATGTGGTTCTATTTCAACATTTTGCCAATACCCGTTGTGAATAGTGTCAATTCATATCTCATTCTGAGCTGATTGAGTGATATCTCTTTCAACTAACACACAAGCCACAGAGGGTATGGTGACAACAAACATAAGACTATCCACCTTGAGAGGCTTACCGTAAGCAGTTGCTAAAGAGTAGAGGATCGTAAGCAGTTGCTAAGGAGTAGAAAATTTTCAAGTTGAACAGATGTAATTTTAACCCCGAAAACTTTATCCAAACTGGAATGATAGGGGACTCCGCTTTTTGATCAAAACCGACAGTCCACTTCATAATTTTCATAAAACGATTGTCGATCTTAATAACTTTTCGAGAGAAAATGCGAGTGTGATCGACATCGTAAGATAGCTGAATAAGTATATGTCGATCATCTAGTAGACCAATGTTCCATCTGCCCAATAATTTCAAAACATCAAATTTTTTTCTAATGACCAGTTTTGGGTGACCATAAAGGAATTTTCCCACTAGAGCAAAACACCAAGAGGACACTAGAGTATCAGTTTCAGCCTCAGTGAGAATAAGTGCAAGCTTCCCATTTTTTTTCCAAGCTATTTAATAAAAGTGTGATCACCATCATCTTCAAGAGCCTCGTGGTACGATTGTGGAACATTGCAGGACTTACCGATAGCAAAAACAGGCTCTGAACCTGGAGGAGTGGCACGAGCAGGAATTGACAAGTCGCTGGCAAGGGCATTTGCATAGGAACGGAGCGTCAAGGCCTTCTCCCTCACAAGATGGACAGGGTCAAAAAAGAAATGGTCTGATGGGCCGCAAGGAAGCGAAGAAGCTGTTGGCGCTGTTGGGCTCAGATCTAGCGAAGCTGCGCAGAAGAGGAACCGCAGATGATGAATGCGCAAAATGACGCGCATAAAGGACCACGACACAAAGACGCCGCATAAGCGAAGCGCTACGTCATTGGGCGCGAAAAAGAAGACGACGAACGCAGAGGCAAAGTCTGTCGTCGTCGTTGAGTGCAAAATCAACCGTCGAAGAGGATGGATCGAAAGCCAAAAGAATTAAACCAGGGTTTCGCCATCGGGCGAAAGCCTAGCAGAGCAGATCTCCATCCGGCATATATATATATATATATATATATATATACACATTATGAAATTTAAGTAATTTGAAGCTACTATTAATTTATATGGCCATTGTTTTATCAGAGCTGTCAATTGTTATTCTTTTTCATTGTTTAATGATAATCAAACATGAAGCAGAGTTCAATTGTTTATTCACTTTACTGCAGCACCCTATATATTTCGTTCTTGTCATTGCTAGCCCATACCTCATCTTTAAATCTTCTTACTTTATAATTGGTTGACCGTGCTTGCTGTCCTTTTTTCATTTACCTTTGAGATCTCAAATAACTTGGAAAGCCTCTTACGTAATGAGGTTGAAACATTTGAATAAGTAGAAGTGTTCAAATTTGCAAGCTGGTGAGAATTTTAGGTTATATGGTGATAACCTTTGAAACTGTGAATAATACAACTTTCTTAAAGTGACCATAAGTTTAGTGGCTTGACCTTATTTTGTTGTTTGTTTATAGGTTTTTATTTTTATCTTTTGACAATCTTGTTTTGAGTTCAGAATAACTTTTCTGCACAAAAAATTCCTAATCCTTTTGTTATAATATCAGGTTTGGCAGAATATAGGCTTGACATATAGGGATCGACCTGATCTCTCACAGTTGGTTGGAAAGCTTTCAGAGAATTTTGAATCGTTGTACGAGAAGGAGGTCCTCTTTTGATCTAGTACTTTTTTTTATTTTCATTTGTTCATCTTCTTTTATATTTATCACTATCTCGTCTGTAAAATCCGTGATTTCCTTTAATTGCAAATCAATATTTAATATCATATAAAATCATGTCATGTTTGCATATTTATTATACAAAAAAAAAAAAAAATTTAATCACTATTATCAATTAAGAAAATAAAAGTAGATGCACTAACTAATTCGAATTAGTTTACCTATTTTACATCAAACCTTTGAAAGTTTATGACATGTTTAAAAACATAAGAAAAAAATAATAAAATAGAGTACAAAAAGAATGAAACTATTAAGAACTAATAACCTAATAAAAAGTGTCTTTTGTGAACAAGGGTATGTCCCAGTATTTCAGGTTTCACACCCTATTATGGATTAAGTTCTAGAGCAGATAAAATAAATCTCTCGATATATATATATATATATATATATATATATATTACATTTATTGATGAAAGAATTATTGTGTTAACAAACCGCCGAGAAAATTATATCTAATGTAGTAAACTACTAACCAATAACAAACAAATTGCTAACTGATTAATGGCTTTAACCAGGAGTACCTAAAATAATACAATGTAAACAATATAAATATTTTCAATGTTTATGGTAATAGAATTTATGTCCGCATCAATTCTCTGGGTGCGAAACACAATTCGGGCGAATTATAGTGTTAATACACCAAAGTAATTGTTATGCTCAATCAACCATGGATTATCAGATGATTATGCTAATCCCAATTGAGTATAGCATGACTTGATCTTGAACGAACACTTGTGAGATCATTGAGCAAATATAAGAATCAATATGTGACTATTGGAAAATTAGAAAAATCACCTGGATCATAGTGCACAATAAAACTTTTGTTGATGCCTTTAATGGAGATGATTTGAATCTCAAGTAATGATGAATGAGTTTTAGAAGGTGGGGACATTTATGGTTGAGTTGTGGTATCGTGTACTTTCTTATGTTTGAAGATTTGTTGCTGGTAGCTGATTGCTTCCTAGCCATGCTCTCTTTTTATAGATACTTGATCTAAATCTCCAGTAGAAAATTGATTGCCATTGACAAATATACACATGAAAACTACTTTGAATTTCATTAAATATACTTTTAAAACTTTCGATCTAATGGCTGGATGTCCGACTTCCATTGTGATGTTAATGTCTTAATCGTCAGACTAGGCCTGGGGAAGGAGGAAGAATTGAATTATAATGACCTGTTTTTGAAGAAGTTATTCTAAGATTCTTTTTGTTTCTGGAACTCAATGAGGAGGTTTAAGAAACCAGGTTGAGATTTTTTTAGAACTTTGAATGAAAAAATTGAATTTTAATTGAACTAATTTTATGGAGATTGGGGGTTTTGTTGAGGAGGTTTAAGAAACCACATCTTCCTACGCATATTTTATTCTCAGATTGCTCTAGCTTAGAGAGTATGTGTAATAAATTTTTTTGCAGACTCTCTGCAATAGAATTTTTTTTTTGGGTTGAGTTTTTTACATGGATCACATTCCTTGTATCAGTTCAAAATGCAAATGATTTAATTTTTACTTATTTAACTCATGATTGAGGAATGCTTTTCCCCAAATTGAAGATCTAAGCTAATGATTAATGGGTCTTTTGTATTTTAATGAATGACCAAAGCTATATAGGTTTTTAGTTTACACTTGTTAAAATTGAAAGCAAACGCCCCCAGTTTTTTGCAGTAATATTTTAGGGTAATTTTCATTATTCAAGATATTGTTATGACTTTTTCTAAGGTTTAGCATGTGTGTTTGTCTGCTTATGTGTGGTAGATGAAGCATCTAAGTAAATGGAATTTGACTGCATTTGGATTCATTTCATGCTTTTATTGGTTTCACTGTTGGAACTGTCAATGATATCAACCTTCAATATTTCAAAGGCTTAGCATGTGTTTGTCTGCTTATGTGTGAGGTAGATGAAGCATCTAAATAAATTGAACTTGACGGTATTTGAATTCATTTCAAGCTTTTATCAATTTCACTGTTGGAACTGCTAATGATATCAACCTTCATTATTTTAAATCTGTGGTTTTGACTCGTAGGAATGGTTTACATGGATTTGAAGACGTGAATAATGTTTAATATGGTACATAATATTAGTAGAGAACTGTCTTAAAGCTTCTCCATTTTATTAAATATCTTCATGTTCAAAAGTGTTGCATTATTAATTATGGAAAGATTTACACCAATCTATGATGCATTTAAATGTTCATATATATATATATATATATATATATATATATAAATATATATATATTCCCATCATAAAATGATCTTAAAAAATCAAGCATTTAAAAGACTAAGCTTTTCAGAGGAGTAAAATAAAGTGGAAATTGTATACAAGTTTCTAGCATGAATAACTTGTTCCATGTATGTGTTTTTATTAAGCACATCTTTGTTGTTTATTGCTTCTTTTTATTTGAAATTGTTATATATATATATATATATATATATATAT